CAGAGCCGGCCGCGCTGCTCCTCCGGTCCGGGCGCGAGGCGCGTGGGAAGGGGGCGAGCGGGTTGGGGGCGGCGGGGTGGCGGAACGCGCAGGAATTGGCTGTCTTCTGGGCACGGCTGGGTCGCAAGACCTGCACCGCTCCGCCGCGGAATTTTTGAGTGCTTTCCCCTCTTTCTCTCTCTCTCTCTCTCTTTTTTTTTTAATTTATTTTTTCCAAGACAGACGTTATCGTCGCCGAGGTGACTGTGTCATCTGTTCAACTTGCTAAGAAGACAGACAGCCTCCTCTGCCCAGCTTGGCCACAACTCCTTCCCCTGTCCTTTGGGAATGACAGGAGGATTTAGAAGCCTGTTCTAAATGTCAGCGTCCGGGGGCTGCGTCTCCGCGAGTGCGCACGCTGCCTCCGCTCTGCGCATCGTCGCGCACCCCTAAAACGGTCAAACCAGGTAAAGGAGCCCGTGTGCGGGCAGGTGACGCGGAGAGAGTGGCAGGAACACTGTCACGGCCAACCGTTGTGTTTGTCGGGGTCCCCCCACCCCCGGTCCCCCATCATTAGGAGTCTCCTTTAAAACCAAGCGTAGAACATATGAACCACTAGATGGCGCGGATGGCGAGAAGTTAAATCTAAACCAAAGATTTGGCTGTTTTAAAAAGGTGAAGGTTCAAAAAATTAACTGATCCAACAAAAAATTGGATCCCATGAACATCCTCAGAACCCCTGCTGCCACCCACCTCTTTAGTGTTTATATGAAACGCACTGTGCGAACTGAACCTACATTTTGATAGGTGTGAGATCTGCGGTGGATTTTAAATGCCTTTAAAAATTAAATCTAGATTACTGAGTGAGCAGCAGCAGCATACTTAATACTTTGGGGAAAGTGAGGGTACCTATGTGTTGATGGAGAATGTAAACCTGATTTAGTTTTCAAGTGTCTTAGTTTGACTGTCCTTTGACTTGTAAAGTGGACTCTGCACTGTACAGAAATTAACTTTCACGCCCTAGAGATCAAAGACCTGATGTGTCGACCTCAAAAATTTTAAGTGAGATACCTTAAATAAAACATAGAAACTGAAAAATACAGTGCATAGAAAAATACAGGAGGAAAAAAAAGACTTTATAATCTACGGGATTTTCTTTAGAGAATGAGAAAGGTATCTTGGGCTTCTTTTGTTTATAGGTGTAGCTGTTCAGGAAATCCAGTGTTGGCTAATGAATTTGAATCTAATGCACCGTGTTATTTGAGGACGCAAAGCTGAAGACACCTGCTATTTGTTTGTATTAGTGGAGTGAAAGATACTTGTGTAACAAATCTATGTAGCCTGTATGCCTGAAAAACAAAAGTGCAAGCATGCTGACTGGAAATTAGAAAGAGGGAATTACCTACCAGCTAAAGAAATAAAATCAACCCATTCCTAATCCAGGGACATAGGTGGCACATGGCAGGGGCTGAGCTTGGCACCTTTAGAACAGAGATCCATTGATAATTAATGCCAATACTGGCATCCCATCCTGGGAAGATGGGTCAGGCAACCTCGAGACTAAAATTCTACCCTAGGCAGCTGAGTACTTAAATTCCCAAATAACAAAGGATAGAATATGAACAATTTTACAAAGGCTTTATCTACCTTCCCACCATCCTGACAAGCTGCTTTGTTGTGGCGGAAAGATGTGTGCTTAGAACCTACACACATCTAAATTCAAATTCTAGCCTCCCAAAATTACTTATTGGCTTTTTTTCATTTGTCAAGTAATTTCCATGACTGGAAATTGTAGATAATGAAACAGAACTGTTTCAGGCCTTTTGCAAGGATTAAACAGAATGACTCTTCTGAACACCAATGTATTACTTAGTACATTGAGGGTACTCAATATTCCTTTTTTGTTTTAATGAGTAATATTAGTACAATTCATTTTATCTGGCCTGCATATGGAATTCCCACAGACACTTATGTATATTTTCTCTCACCTTTTAAAGATTCTCTTGTCCTGATAAGTACATAAATGTAGTATTTTAATATTCATTCATGCTTTGAAGTGTTATATACAGATTAGCTATTCAAAATCCAGCAGAACTTTGTATATGCCTCCTGTGTCCATGTCCAAAGATTCTTACTCTCTCCTCTTGGTTTCTCATTTTATGTGCCCTCCTGATTGATTACATGGAAAACAAACTCAGCAAGATCAAAATTGAATTTGTCACTCTTGTTCTCCAGTGATCTACTCCCGCTTTCTCTCCTGCTCAGCGAAGTCCAAGAGAGAAACCAGGTGGTCATTCTGTTGCTCACTACTTCCCTCCAACAAACAAGTACACTTACCTAAAGACCCTTGCTGCCAGTCTATCTGTGCAACGACAGTGATCTTTCTAAACCTATTTTGAAGTAATTATAGATTCACATGGAATTTGTGAGAAGTAATAGATTCCTTCTACCTGTCACCTAGTTTTCCCTAAAAGTAACATCCTGCATACAGTATTTTAAGTGTAAAATCACAGCCAGGGAGTTGACACTGATACTGTCTCAGTCCATATTTGCCATCTCTATATATTCTTCAGTAAAATGTGTGTTCCTTGTCTTTTGGAATGTTTTGAATTTCTGTAACAAAATACCATAAACCAAGTGGCTTTTAAACAGCTGATACTATATTTGTTTCTCCAAGATCAAGGAGACCGCAGCATCAGTGTTTGGTAGAGGCCTGCTTTCTGGTTCAGTGATGGCACCTTCTGGCGGCATTGAACGTACTATTATGGGAAGGCAGCTCTGTGAGGAACTTGCATAAGGGCACCGAGCCCAGTAATAGAGGTTCTGATGTAATTAACCCTCAGGACCTAATCACCTTCCAAAGGTCACAATCCTAATGTCACATTGGTAATTAAGTGTTATCCTATGAATGAGTGGGTAGACAGGAGCATTCAGACCATAAAGATACAATCCACTGAACTTACTCAAATTCTGCCAGATTTACAAACACTAATTTTTGTATCTATAATAACCTGATTTTATCACACGTCTATGTTTTTGTGAGTAGGATCTCAATAAACATAGAAAACACATCACTGGGATCACTGTTTATGGCCACAATAGCCTCCCTTCTTCCCCTCCTCAAATTCCTTTCAGCCACTAATTAATTCCCAGTCTCTATAATTTATCAATTCAAGAATATTGTCTGAAAGGAATTGTACAAAATTGCTACAGTACAGCATTTTTAAAACTGCCTTGCCTGAGAAAACCCAAGGCTATCAATAGAATTTGTTTCAGCCAGTACCCCAAAGATACGGTTCCTGTTTCTCAGCTTCTAAGGGAAGGTAGGATCCCAACTTCGGTAGGCATCAACAGCAAACCCAGGCAGGATACAGGTAGACCATCACCCTCCTGCTTTTGTGATATTTTGCTCCCCTGACTCTACTGAGTCTCTCCATAATCTCTTCCCCATTCCCTTTTCCTTTAAAATGTTGAGTCCTTTCTCGGCAAATTGAACTTGAGTTCATTTTGGACTCTTTGTCCTAGGGCAGTAATAAATTAGTGATTGACGTCTGGCCTTACCACTAAGTGTCTGTCCTGCTTTCCCTTGGACAGTAGTGATATTTCATTGTGGTTTTATTTTGTGTTTCTATAATGACTAATATTAGTGAATGTATTTTTATTTGCATATTTCCCATCTGTGTATATTCTTCAGTAAAAGTGTGTTCTTTGTCTTTTGCTCATTTTTAAGGGCACTGCTTTTAACGTTGATTTTTTTGAGAGCTCTTTATATATTCTAAATAATTGTCCTTTGTCAAATATGTTGTCTGCAAAGACTTTTTCCTAATTTGTAGCTTACTTTTTCATGCTTTTAAGCGGGTCTGTTGCAAAGCAAATTTTTTAATTCTGAAAATGGCTAATTTATCCTCTTTTTTTCCTTTTATGGGTATCAAGTCTAAGAAATATTTCTAGCCTGTAAGTCCCCAAGATTTCCTCTATGTTTCCTAAATATTTTATAGTTCTAGATGCAAAATTAAGTCCAAAATCTACTTTGAATTAAATGTTGTATAAGATCTGAGGTTGAGGTCAAGGTTCTTTTCATCATTCTTTCTTTTTTTTGGTGTGTGTACCTATATGTATTCAGTTGCACCAGCACCATTTATTGAAAAGACTAGCCTCCCTTTATTGTATTGCTTTTGCACCTTTTTAAGAACTCAGTTGGACATATTTTGTGGCTCTATTTCTAGTTTCCTCTTCTGTCTCCCTGATCTTTAAGTTGGTATACCCAGCTAACAACACCCTTTCTTGATTATTTGTAAGTCTCAACATGAGGAAAATGATTCATTATACTTTATAATCTTCAGAATTGTTTTCATATTGTAGGTGCATACCTATCTTTTCATATACATTTTAGAGTAAGCTTCTCTACGTCTTTAAAAAACATACTTTAATTTCGACAGGAATTGTATTATACTTATAAATCAACTTGAAATTAATTGCTATGTTTACTGTGCTGGGTCCTTTCCCACTCATTTAATACTATTTTTATTTCTTTCATCAGCATTTTGTAGTTGTCAAGATATAGATGCTGTCCATGTTTTTATTCATTTAGCCAGAAATATTTTTCTGTATTTGGGGCAATAGTGAATAATATTGTAGCTTTTAAAATCTTACCCTCCATGTGCTCATTTTCAGTATACACAAATGTAATGGTTTTTGATATATTGATCTTGTATCCTAAATTTTTGTTGAACTTTCTTAACTAATTCTTGGGTTTTCTTTTTCTCTTTACTTTAGTAGCACATGTTTGCAGTACATGATATTTACATTCCTTGTGTAGAGTGGACATGGACAGGGATATAACACATCTTAACTCCTTTTGCCTTTCTCTTTCCCTACCCTCCCATCCCCTCAGTTCATCTCTTGATGCCCCTCCCTTTTTTGGTGAGACATGTTCTCACGTGTAGGCTGGCCTTAAACTCACTACAGTGGGCTCCTGGAGATCCTCCCTTCTTAGCCTTCCTGAGTGCTGAGATTACAGACATGCACCACTATACCTGGCTGTTTTGCTCCTTATTTATAGTTTGAGTTTTTTATATAAGAGAAACCATATGATAGTTAAACTTACGTGTCTGATTTTTTGAACTAACATTATGGTATTGAGGTAAAACCATTTTCCTATAATGACTCAATTTATCTTAGTGGCAGAGTAGTGATCCACTCTTTGTAAATACCACATTTTCTTTATTCATCTACTGATGGACATACAGTATGCTTCCAAGGTTTAACTATTGTAATTGTGTTGCTATGAACATGAATATGTATGTATCACTGTAATATTATGTCTTCATTCTTTCAGGAAGATACCTAGAGGAGAAATAGCTGCATCAAATATAATTTTGAGTTTTCATTTTATGAGAAATCTTCATGCTGCTTTCCATAGTGACTGCACAAGTTTACATTACCACCACCAAGTAGAAAAGATCCTTTTTCCCTGTAGCCTCTGCTGCATTTGTTATTATTTGATTTCTTGATTATAGCTATTTAGGGGTAAGATGGAATCTCAGTGTTGTTTTAATTTGCATTTTTCTAATGTTCATCAATGTTGAACATTTATTCTGTGCTTACTGGCCATTTGTACTTCTGTGAAGTGCCTGTCCATTTTATTTACCCATATTTTCACTCAGTATCTTACTTACATTGGAGATAGAATTTTTTTGAGTTCTTTAAATATTCTAGATATTACTTCTCAGCCTGAGGAATAGTTTGCAAAATATTTTCCCCTCCTATAGGTTGTCCTTCATTCTTCTGGTTGTTTCTTTTGCCATGCAGAAGCTTTGTAATTTGATATGATCCCATTTGCTTATTCTTGATACTATTTCCTGTGCAACCAGAGTTTTGTTCAGAAGTCCTTGCCTATGCCTATGTCAAGAGTTCTACCTGTTTTATCTCCCAACAGATTGTATCTGTTTTAACATTTAATTCTTTTATCTATTTTTATTTTAGGTTACTGCATGGTGAGAGATATGGGTCTAGATTCAACCTTTGGCCTGTGGAAAGCCAGTTTTTTCAGCACCATTTATTAAAGAAGCCTTCTTTGCTCCAGTGTATTTTTTGGCCCCTTTTATATACAATAATGTCAGCTCCAAATAGTGTCAGGCTTTTTTCCTTCTTTTGTAACCTGAGCGACTATTCATTTATCTATTTATTTACAGTATTAGACATTGAACCCAGGGCCTTTGTTCCAAGATACATATCCAGGGCTTTTTCTGTATTTATTCTTTCAAGGCAGGATCTTGCTAAGTCACTGAGTTGCTTGAGCTGGACTCAAACTTGTGATCCTCAGCCTCTGCCCCTGGAATTCTAGGACTGCAGGAATGTGCCACCAGGGCTGGGTAGAATTTCATATTTTAAATGAACTTACAGTCATGTCACTATGCTCTTTAAGTCTTCCATATTTTCAGAGGTTAATCCTTAGAAAAAACTATAGAACTATTCAGGATCTCAACCTCCTGTACTTTGCAAACCTCATCTCTTCCCATTTAGCATTTGTTACTGGACAGTCTTGCTCAGCTTTTTGTAGTTTGCAGAATGTAGTGTGTTTTATCCAGATTCTGGGTCTCAGTACATGTATTATTATATGTCTTTCCCACAATTACCAACTATTCAGCTCAAATCACATCTTCCAGGGACTATTGTGTAAGCCATTAAAAATAATGTCCAACTCATGTACTTCAGCAGATGTTGTAACAGCTCAGATTTTTTACCCTCTGCATTGTAACCTCTTTGAGAGAAGGAACTGGTCTCTTATCTCTATATCCTTAGTATTTGTCATTGTGCTTGGCAGATAATAAAATACAGTGAATATTTATTGAATGAGTGAATGAATAATTAGATGGTAAATATGCATCTTTTTTCAGTTAGAGAATGTTACTATAGCTCTTTAAAAGGTTCACAGGAAAGCAAGTTGATTTAGTTCCAAAATCTATAATGGGAATAAAATCTTAACAATGAAACAAATGATCTACATTTATATGGTTCTGTAAAAGAAAGGTTTTCTCTACAGTTTTACTATTGTTGATTTTCAAAAGAGCCTTGTGAGGTGCATATTATTCTTACGTTTATTTTACCCAGAAGGAAACAGAGATCAAGAAGGTTAAATGATTTTCCAGGATTATATTGTACAATCAAGAAGCAAAAGCTGACTCATTCCCAGGACTTCTGACCCTAAATCACATGTTCTTTTAGCTAGGAACTGCAACAGTAAATTCCCTTTGCCAGTTTGTTGTTGATATTTTCAGTCCTGGTGATAAGCTTGCACATATAATTGCTTGTTCTCTTACCTGTCCCCATCTAACACCTCCCTGAAGTCTCTGGCCAGGGCAAAAAGTCAGGATGGAGAAAGGTGTGTCTGTTTATCCCACATTTTTACCACTTATTCTAACTTCCCAGAGAGAGAAATTTAAATATCCAGATGATATATATTATGGTTGGAATTGAAAATGTTTCCCAATAAAGCTCATTGTGCCAAAGGCTTGGTTGCTGATGAAGTTTTAGAAGGTGATTGGATCATGAGGACTCTCCATTGATGGGATCATGATTTCAGGACATTTTTGGGAGGTGATGGAAAGAGGAGGTGGGGCCCAGCTGAAAAGAGTAGTTCATAGGGTGTGACTTTCAGGGCTACAATGTGTCTCATCCCCACTTTTTTCTCTTGGGCTTTGTCTCTCTGCTTCCCAGATGCCGTGAGCTGAGCAGTGTTCCTTCATAATATTCTTCTTCAGTGATGACTCTGCCTCTCTTCCCAGGGGCATAAAATCAGGGGAGCAGGCTGATCGTGCACAGAAACCTCCAAAACTGTGAGCCACAAGAAATCTTCCTTCCTTACATTTAAGTTGTTTTTCTCAGGTAATTTTTCACAGTGACAAAAAACTAACTAACAAAATATATCCTTGAAATGAGATGAATTCACAGTAATAACTGAGCTCACAAACACTTCTGTTTACAAACAATTCAGTTCACAAAAAAGCATTCAGCAAAATTTTGCTTCCATTGGCAAACTCCACATAGGCTGACAAACACAACCATGGCCATCTTCCCTACACAAACATAAATGCAGCCATATTCCTCAAAATCATAAAACAAATTAAGTCCATAAACAAAGGTACCTGCTTGCTTGTAGTCCCAGCACTCTGGGAGGTTGAGGTAGGAGGGGAGGATCACACACTTGAGACCAGTCTAGGCAACTTAACAGTTTGGTGGGACCCTGTCTTTACTTTTTAAAAGTTAGTTCTAAGTGATCATCAGATGAGTTAGCATATCCATCACCTCAAATCTTTATCATATCTTCATATTAAAAATGTTTTACTAGCTATTTTGAAATATGCAGTTAATAGTCATCAACCATTTTTATGAACTGTGCTATAAAAGATTAGAAATTATTTTTCCTCTGCAGTCACACCCGTGTAACTGTTAACCACCTTTTTTCCCCACACTGATCCCAGACACTGCAAACCACTATTTTATCCAACACTTCTTTAAAATTAGTTTTTCAAATTCTACATAGAAGTGAGAACATGCCAGATTTATTTCACTTACTGTCCTCTGGTTTTACTCATGTTGATGCAAATTATAGGATTCCATCTATCTTATGGCTGAATAATACTCCGTTGTGTACATATACCACATTTTCTTTATCCATTCATCCACTTATGAACAGCTGAGTTGGTTCCATCTTTTAGCTGTTGTGAATAATGCTATGATAAAGTATATGAGTGTAAATATTTCTTTAACACACTGATTTTACTGTCTTTGATAAGTACCCAGGGTAATGTTTTTCTGAACCTACATACTGTTTTCCACAGTGGCTATACTAGTATATCTTAGCAGTGTATGAGACTTCTCCTTTTTTGACACCCTACCCAATATTTATTATTTTCTATCTTTTTTATAATAGCCATTTTGCTGAGGTCTGATATCTTACTCTTTTTTAAAAAATTGTTTTATTACTTTAAAGAGAAAAGAACAAAAACAAAAAGATAGCTAAGATGATTGTACCACTAATTTCTATTGTTTTATTGAAAAGAATAGTTAATGTTTGTTTGATCATTCTTGCATACCCATATCTGGTAATCTGAGCAACTACTTTGAAAATAACAATAAGTAATACAACAACCATTGTTGACTTCCTATCATCTTGTTTTGAAATTCTGTATGTTTTTAATAGTTTTTGTGACATCTTACTCTTTGTTTTTTTGCTTGTTTGTTTGTTTTGTTACTAGCTTGAACCCAGGGCCTCTTACTGGCCTATATCCATATCCTTTAAAAATGTCTTATTTGGAGCCAGTGTCTCACTGAGTCATTCAGTTTCCCTGGCTGGGTTTGAAATTGGGATCCTCCTGCCCCAGCTTCCCAGTGGGCTGGGATTCTAAGCATGTATTTTCAATGCAGCTATATATCTCGTGGCTTTGATCTGTATTTCCCTGATGATTAGTGATGCTGAATATGTTTTTCATATGTTTGTTAACAATTTGTATACCTTCTTTTAAGAAGTGTCTATTATGGTCTTTTCTGCAATCAGATTATTCCACGCAGCCTCAATCAGCTGGCTAGGGAACTCGAACCAGTGCCCCACATTCTGCTGACATTGTGGTTCACAGCTGAGGCCCACATACCGTCAGTCAACTGCCTGGGGATCATGGTCCGAAAGGCAAGTGTTCCACTGCCATTGTGGTTCTCATCTGAGCCATGTACTCCGTCAACTGCGTGGAGATCCCAGACCTGGTGGCCCACCTCCCGCTGTCATCGTGGGACAAACCTGATACCCAGGAAATTTAGGGACCATAGAGACCTTCGGTGAGCTGCCTGGGAACAGTGAGGCACAGTACTTTGCCTCTGGCATCCAAAATGACAAGACAAACAAGCAAAATGCAATCTCAGATCTTCACCCCACCCAGAACTATTCCAGGAGACATCAAAACAGGAGAACTTGGAAGTCAGACACCTGAAATCTCCGAAATGATTGCAATTGAAGTAAAGAAATAACTCCATCAGGCCATAGAAGAGATGAGATCAGAAATAATGTCTCAGGTAAAAAAATGAAATGACAAAAATAATGAAAGGATTGCTCAGCACATCTGAAGAAGACATATATAAAAAAATAGATGAGCAGAGAAAAATGATGCAAATGTTAAATGAACAATATAGGAAAGAACTAGAATACATGAAACAGATTCAAAGAGATACCCAGGAAATCAAAACTTCCATCAAAAGCTGGCAAAACTGCTTGAATGAAGCTGAAGATAGACTTTCACATCTTGAAGACAGCATTGTAGCTAAAGATCACAAAAGGAAAGAGCTCATAAAAATAACAAAGAGCCAGGAAATATCAATTTAACAGCACAACACTATGCAAAGAGAAACAATGTAAGAGTAACAGGTGTCAGTGAAACTGCAGGATTCAACACAAATGACATAAAAAGAACATTTGCAGAAGTAATTGGAGAAAATTTCCCAAGCATGGAAAAAGAATCTGATAGATAAGTAAGGCATATAGAACTCCAACTGGCCATAACCAAAATAAAACTATACCAGAACATATAATAATCATCCCAGAAATCTAGCAAAAGGACAATATTAAAAGCTGTTAGAGGAAAGAAACAGATCACCTATAAAGGAAAGCCCATCAGAATCACAGCAGATTTCTCAACATAAAGTATCAAATCAAGAAGTTTGGAGTGAAGTATTCCAGGTCCTAAAATAAAATAATTTCACACCCAGGTTGATGTATCCTGCAAAACTATCCTTCACATTTAATGGAGACATAAAATCAGATTATTGGGGTTGTTTTTATTGAGTTGTTTGAACTCCTCATATATTCTGGGTTTTAATCCCTTGTGCAATGAGTTTAAAAGGATTTCCTCCCTCTCTATAGTTGTCTTTCTGTTCTGTCAGTTATTTGTTTTGCTGTGCAATAAATGATGCATTAAATCTTGAGTAAAATCTGGCAACTCCAAATTTTTATGTATCAGTTTTTAATAAAATATCATTTGTTTATAACCACTAAATACCAAAAAAAAGCATTTTACCATAAGATATTTAATCATAAATTGCAAACATTTCACAAAAATATGATTCTATAGAAACATATATAGTTCATTTTCATTCACTTTCTAGATTCCATATTGTGTTTGGCAGAGATGATTTATTCAAAGGTAAATTGGGCTTGGATTCTTTATTCATTGGAAGACATGCACAGTCTGTTCTGTTTTCTTTTAGTGTGGGCCTTTATCCCCTATAGAAATAAAATCTGACACACTAGTAAGAAAAGGAGGACATGTATAGCCAAGACTTGTTAATTCTTCACACGTACTTGATTTTTCAGGAACCTCACCGTATACCTCAAATATGGTCATCAGGAAAAGGGCAAGGACCCCATGTATCTCTTTGGATCATTACAGTATTAAAATGACATTGATAGCCTGAGCTCAAATTCTTTTTTTTTTTTCCTCATATAAATACTGTTAAAATACTTCGCAGGTTTTAGACCTTGAACAATTCCTATTAAAAGTAACCTATTTGGGTTTTATTCTTCATATATACAAAATGTTAAATATATTTTAACAATTAAATTTGTTCTCAAAGTTTTCACAGTGCTCCTTTGAGAATCTGTCACATTCCATGTGATTCAAACTTTGTAAACTAATTTTGTAAACAGGTATACAGAATTTAACTGTCATATTAAAGCTTCAAGTTTGCATCACAAGATTATCATTATGCAGGAACTTGGTGATGTCACAAATGTTTATATATGTCCAAACTCATCAAATTGTGTACATTAACTTATTACAGTTCTTTCTGTACCATTATATGGCAATAAAGGCTGCTAAGAAGTTGATTTTTATTCTTAAAATACTACTGGCCTCATGAATGATGAATTTATTACTGTGACTTAAGAAAGCAGAGGGAAAATTAGAAGGGAAAAGAAAACAATATTTAACACATTGTTATTGAGATCATTCACAGTGCTCAAGGGACCAGGTTGCACATTATAATGACCCAAGATATTCAAGAGTAAACTGCCCTAAGGATTTTGACATATGAAATAAAAAAACAGAGTATGGAAATCTCGTTTAATCCAAAAGTGACCTTGCCTATCAGATCATTTCATAATCTTTACCCTAAATGTTTTATTCTCTGAGAAAGTGCTTATTTTTTAGAAGAGAAAAGGGGGAAGATAAGGCATATAAATTTGTTCCTTGGACTCATTATCATTTTTATAACTTTGGATTAATTGCTATGGAATAACTCCAGTGCCATAAACAGAATTGTGAGTGCAAATGAGAAAGAAGCAACAGTAGTTCTGAAGAAAAAAAGCCTTATTTTTCCAAAACTAAAGAAAATCAAATTCTTTCATACGGGACTAACAATTTCAAAGAAGATAAATTACATCCAAATACTTTATGGCCATTGAAAACCTTGAAGAAACTTGGCAACATTTTCATCATTTTACAAATCTACACTCTGTGAGAAAATTGGCAATTAATTTGCTTGTTTATTTTCTTTCAAACTATTGGAAATACTCTAGCAAGCCTGCCTGATGCATGCAGTATATTTGATTCATAAATTTTATTGACAATTTAGTTGGCTTTAATAAATCAATCAAAATAGAGTTTAAAGTATAACAGTATAATACTTAAAAGTATTTGGTTAATGGGAGGTCCCTGTATTACCCTCCTTTACGCAATGATTCTATGTAAATCTTGTTTTCAACTGAGACTGCATTAAATTTTAATTTAAATAAAGAAAATTATTTAAAAGAGGGCTATTAAACAGGTTTTTACATTGCAGCTGTTCCGGTCTCTCAGGTAAATACTAACTGAGAAAGCCTGTTAAAGTTTGCTCTACTTGTTCGAATTCTCATTCTTTCTCCCTTGCATGAGTGCTTTGTTGGGCAGCTCCCCCAGTGACTCTAGTACATAATGTTCTGAGAAAGCAGCAGGCTTGGAACGCTTATTCAGTAATTGCCTGTGATTTCTTGGTCTGTAAAGGTCTAATTCTCATTGTTTTTAAAAATATGAATTGTATTTTGAACACAAATTTAGAAAGTGCAACTTTTCTATCTTAGAGGATAACATAGTGAAAGAGCCATAATAAAATACGTATTTTAAGCATGAATGCTTTACACTATACTCTTAAAACATCTAAAATATGAAAGACCTTGGTGTGATGGTGGATGCCTATAGTCCTATCACTTGAGAGGCTGAGGCAGAAGGATCATGGCAAGTGTCAGGTTAGCCTGGACTACAGAGCAAAACCCTGTCTAAGGAAAACCAATCAATCAATATACATACAATAAACATGAAAAGAGAAGTTTGGACAGTTTTAATGTGAGGTGAAGATACTGTTGGGAAAGTAGAAATTGTTGGCATGAAAATTATGTTAGAAAAGATACTCCAACATTGATTCCCTCTTTGACTGTGTTCCTTTCTGTAACATTCAAAAGTGAGTAGGTAAGCTTTATCCCATTAGAGCCAAATGCAAGAGAAATCTAAAGAAGAAACTGGCAGGGAAAAAAATGAAGGGTACTCTTACAAAGAACATCTTCTCCACCTTCCATGTACAACACTGATAGTGACAACGAGGATAAATTACCTATTTATGATAACAGAATAGAATTGTTCAAGAAGGGAAGAGGGTGGTAAAGCTAAATGAGTTAAACGTCATAAAGAGAATGGGGAAGGGGATGAGCTCTTAGAGATGTAATGATCCATTACTTAATTTTTCAACAAATTTTCAAATTAATTTCTAGCTTCCAAGACAATTTAGGAGTAATATGGGAGAGAAGGCTCGGTATCTTAGTAATGGAACTTCAAGGTAGGAAATACTATGAGATCTACAAGCATAGAAGTACTGAAGATTAGCAGCTAATTCTCCAGAAATCAGAGTCTTTAGGGGACTCTTCTTGTGCAGGAAATGAGTTAATATTGTAGGTTTGTGCTGCTGTCTTTAGAAAAGCTGCTGGAAATGTAAACCCTTGGTTAGCATCTAAAACCTAGTTCTCAGTTCATAGTCACTCATCAGTGTTGGCTCACAGAGTGGTTCAGTCTGCCTAGCCTATTTGTGCAAACCATATGGTTTATACTGTAGACCTGCTCTTGGATCAGTGGATCTAGATTGTTACGCTGTACATTTTAGGTAGGAGTGGCCTACATGACCAGCCCCCTGTGTAAATCACGCATAGGTTTCCCTGGATGGATATATGGCACATATATTGCTGCATATCATTACCAGAGGATGAGGGCACACTATGCAATACCTTAGGGAAAGAGGAGAACCTAAGAAAACTGCCATGTGAATTCCTCCAGCCACTAGATCTTTTTCCTGAATGGTTCATCGTGTATGCTTACCACATGACTATATAAACTTTCATGGTATATGCACCCAGGGGCATGTGGATGCTAAAGCTAGTGACTGAAATGAGTTTCAGATGCTGAATCAGATTTTTATCAAATGGAGATGAAATGTAGGGTAGAAAATGCCTAGAAATGAGCAGGAGACATAAATAAAGGCATGGACTTGATATTGGGGAGGAAAGAGGAAACCACAAATCCTTCATGGTTTCTGAGTCCTTAAGGTTAAGGATGGCAATGCCACCAAATATAAGCAGAAGGCAGTTCAGAGTCCTCAATTCTAACTTACAAGTTCTTACTACTTTAGGAAATATTCATGATGAGGAATAACTAAAGTTCAGTGATTCAGTGGATATTTGGGGCAGTGAAACAATAATGAATCTTTATTCTTATTCACATTTTTGAAGCAAAATCTGCTCTTTGTAGAATCATGTGTGCCATTATTGACAGTGGTCTAGAAAACCGTTAAGCATTTAGCTATGTGGTATACTATACTTTCAAAAAGAGAATCATGTTAAAAGTTTTCTTCAATTTAATAGATACTTGAAATAGATTTTTATCCTATTCATAAATTTTAATAAATGTGACAAAAGTTAATACATTTGGCTTCCTTAGTAATTCGTCCATTCCATTCACATTTTAGGTTTCAAAATATAATACATCTACAACATAACATCTATCATTTATAT